GAATTGGCCAACAAAAGAGAAAAAGCAAAGAAACGCAAAGTGATATTGCTGGCAGTAAGACTGGACTCAAACCAAAATGGAGTGACAGAAGTAACAGCTGATTGTGGGAATGTTAACAGGCACACTGTTCAGTGGACCACACAGATGCAGCCAGAGGAATTCAAAAATGGCAAATTTATCTACTAAATGAGCAAAGTGGTCCTGACAAAAAGCAAGAAGATTACCCAGAGACAAAGTGATACCAGAAAAAATTCACATTAGAGGGATTTCTAGAGATCCTGCCTGACATTCGAAGCCCAAAAGGATAAAATGCAAAAAGATGATCCAAACTTAGATAGGAGTGTGACAATTTGCCAAGGTATAGGAAATTTCCCAAGCTCTGAGGAAAATGCAAGCAACTTTTAAAATATGGATAAATTGCTACAAAGAAATAAAACTAATTCTCAGTATTTCTAATGTTTTGAGTAAAATTAGCTTTACTATTTGTTTCCCTATACTAATAACCAATCACAAGAGACTCTGTAATACCTTAACAAAAAAAAAAGCAATGAAAACAGGAAACAATGGTAATTTCCCCACTGATCATAATCACTTTATAGGGTTTCAGCTTAGTCATTTTTATGATTCCACACTACTGTCAAAAGTGAAGGCTGCTTGTATTTAAATCTTAACATTTTATAAATTATTCTACACATTTTACTATTACCTGCATGCTTTCAAAATTAGTTATGTCTGTTGTATCTATATGCAATGGTATATATCACTTTCCAACTCTGTGTTCAGCAAGACACACAGGTAACTTGAAATGGTGTGTGATGTATTATTTACATATTACTATATATATTTATGTAAATGTATATATATTATATTTAGATATATAATCTACATATTACTTACAGTGTATTATTTATACCATGGAAATTAGCAAACACTACAAGTCAGGGCTTGATTTATTTTTGTTGACTGGACTTAAGAGAGTAGTGAAAAGTCACACATGGTGTTACACATGCTAAGGCAGGATTGCAAGTGCCATGCCAGCCTCAGCTACACAGCAAAACCCTGTCTCAAAACAACAAAGAAGTGATGGAGAAAATGTTACTGCAAATTAAATTTAGAAATGTTTATTAGTAACTATATGTTGTGAATAGGAAAACTAATTGAAGGAAGTCCTGTCCCTCAAATAGTATTTGAGAACTATCATCAGATTGAATGAAGATTCAGTCATGTCACAGGTGAACAATTGAGGTTCCAATAGATGTTGCTGTTTTACTTTGGTTTTTCATGCAACAAACATTCATGTAAGAACTATACTTGCTCCTAATAACATGAACAACTTCAGTAATCAAGCACTTATTTCATAGCCTGATTTTGTCAAATTATGATTGAAATACAACCTTGGGTTAAATATATATAGAAGAGTTTGCAATCAACTAGCTCTTTGGTTCCTTTCTATGTGAACAAATAAAAAATTTATAATATGAAGTGTTGAATACTCTTAACATTTAAATGTGTGCTACAATGTTCTCTGTATAATTCATAACAAAACGTAACTTCACATACATACATCCTCTCCTCCCTTGTCCCATATGGCTTGTAAACATTTTATCAGCACTGGATTTAGAGAAGAATGGAGTGAGGTAAAATATGCCCAGGGCCAAAATTCCAACATTGCTTTTTTTCTGTTGTCATAAATCAACTAGCAAATGTCTTAAAGCCTTTTCCTTCTACTGAAAAATGTAAGAAAGGAAAATAGAAAAGAAGGATAGATTTGGCATAGGAAAAGGATAAAGCATACAAAAGACTGGTGCAGTTTAGGTTTTGAGTGACTGTTACTCTTTCTTTTTTACCTCTTTCCTCCTTTTCCAAAGCAGCAAATCTGAATGTTCTATTTCATTTGCTGGAGATTAAATCATCTACACATTTTTTTTACTACATGGCAGGGAGGAATGGATGAATGAGTGTGTATCTTCCTTTCATTCCACAATAAACCAACCAATCTAAGTAATTTAAGAATTTACTAAGGTTTAGAATGCATTTTCAAAATAGATATATAAAAATCAGTAACTTCTCACATTATATTATCAACGTCCATGGAACATAGCTTACACTGCCTGCATTTCTGCATTGTTACTTTTTGGTGTGGGGGGTGTGATACTAGAGTTTGAAGTCAGGGCCTCTCAAGTGCTCACCACTGAGCCACTCCAACCATTTCAGATTTTAATTATTTTCCAGATACGGTCTCACGCCTGGGGTGAGTCAGACAGCCATCCTCCTACTTATGCCTTACCCCTCCAGCAAAAGCTGTGCTTTGTTACTTTCTTTAACGTTCCTATAGCATCAAGCTTGAAAGAAAAATTATTGGAGACCTCTTTCTCCCCCTGCTGGCCAGGATACAACATAGCAGTACTGTACGGAAGGAATTACCAAATGTCAAAACTGAAACTCAGTGTCCAGCAAACTGGGTACTTAGACCAACTCAGGCCTGCAGACAACTCACCAATTGTATACTGCATTTAAAATTTAAATCCCAGCTGGGCACCGGTGGCTCACTCCTGTAATCCTAGCTGCTCAGGAAGCAGTGATTAGGAGGACAGCTGTTCAAAGCCAACCAGGACAAACAGTTCCCAAGACACTATCTCAAAAATACTTAACAACAAAAAAAAGGGTTGGTGGAGTGGTTTAAGGTGTAGGACCTGAGTTCAAGCCCCAGCACCAAAATAAATAAATAAATAAATAAATAAATAAATCTAGACATGGTGGCACATGCTTGTGAGCCCAGCTACTGAGGAAGCAGAGGCAGAAGGATTGAGAGTTTGCCAGCCTGGACAAAGTTAATGAAACGCTATCTGAAAAACAAAACTACAACAAAAAAAATGGCTGGGGACATAGCTCAACTGACAGCATTTACCTATGAAGCTCAATCTCCAGTACCAACAAATACATATTTAATTTTTTTTAAACTTTGAATTAGTTGCCAAATTTCTTTTCTCTGAATTCTAGATAAGTCAGTGTCCGTTGGGTCTGCCCTCCTACATGAGCTTCCTGACTCTGGCACAGGCTTTCGCCCTCCCCTGCGCTATAGCCCCACTCAGTCGGCTTCAATTCCTCAAGTCATCTGCCCAGCTTTTATTGCTGAGTTTGCAACACCAAACTCTCACTTACCATTGAAGAAACTGAAGCCCAAATCGCTCCAAATCATACTACCTATTTAATAACAAGGCTGAGAAAGACTTGGGCCTCCTCAATTCAACAGGTGATTGTTAAATTTATTCTTTTATGAATAAATGTTTAATGTCTACTATGGCCAAACACATGGCAAATGTCAAATATATAGCACCCAGAAGATAAAATGGTGTGATTCAGTGTCCATCTGGTGGGAAGAGCAGACAGGTAATTATAAAAAGCATGGTGGAAATGAGGACAGAGGGAGAAGGAGCCATGGTGGTGCTGTGGCACAGCTCTCATGTCACCACCTGGTCCAAGGTCATCACAGTTGTGATTAGTAACACAAGAGACTAAAATTCTCCAATGTCCTCAAACCCTAGGGTCCACATTTATTCAACATTCATTGGGCACAAATGCAAACCATTGGGGACAAACAGTACTAAACACTGCAATTATCAGATCATTTCCTCTGTGTTTGATGTCTGCAGTAGTCACTCAGCTTCTCCTTACTCATCACGGCTTTAGAATCACCATCTGTAGACACTATGCTGGGCTGGTGGGTGAGGGGGCAAAGTCAGTAATAATCAGAAGTGCACAGTAATTGCTGGGGAAGCAATACCTGCAGAGTAAGACTTGGGTAGCAGGCATATGGGATTAAAGTCAAACTAAGTAGAACCCGATCTTGGTCAGCAACAAACAGGGTGCTGTAATTGGACACTCATACAAAGAAAAGGAAATAACTTTTGTATCCAACTCATTAAAATTACTCCAATGGCGTTGTTTGAAACCTGGGCTCTTTGGAGAGATGGATGGTTCCAGAGCTGATGCAAGAAACATGTAATGTGAGCCTTTAAAACCTTATTGGACCAGAAGCAAGGAAACATACACACTAATGAAATGATGTAAAAAAGAACTTGAAGATAGTCAGCAATTTTAACTTAATGACTAAGACAAAAGTCACAGGTGGGCATGGTGGTACATTATATGTGATCCCAACACCTGGGAGGTAGAGGCAGAATGATTTTGAGAGTTCCAGGCCAGCGTGGGCTACACATTGAGACCCTACCGCAAAATAAACCAACCCACCTCATTCCTGAGTTAAGGCCATTGTACTTGCTGCTTTTTCCCTTACATGACTAATACTGTCCTTGTCACAGCTCTAACATCACTCTCTGACATGTCCCCTCCAGTGGCTTTACCACAAACAAAATACTGAATGAAGGACAGTGAACACTAAAAGAGTTCATCTGTTATACTTCAATTAAAAGTTGAGAGAGAGAATGTATTGTTATGGTGTGGTCTGGATTAGCACGTCTGAGGCCCTGGATTTGATCCCTAGCACCAAAACAAAAACCCCTTGTCACTGGTGTGTTTTGGTAGAATGTGCTCCCCTCCCCCACCTTTCCTAGTGAAAGACCATTGAAGTAGGATGTAGTATTTGAGTACGTAACTGAAACTGGCCTACTGCAACTACATTCTTTGGAAGTCTCATGTCCCATATTCTTAAAATTTATGTGAATTCCTTCTTCTTCATCTGTGCATATTGAACAGAAGTATTTTCCTCAAAAATTTTTGGGAAAACCTAATATTCAAGGTAACGGGCCACCACTACCTTGTGGCTGCAAGTACTTCTGGCACACTATCAGACTTCGGTCTTAAAGATCAGTAGAGAGTACAGTAGCTATGGTTATGTAACTCGGCTCATGTCTACCTCACAAGGTGTCTGAGAATTTAAAAATGAAAGCCTGCATATTAGGTACATGGTGTGGTTGACTCTTCCCTTCTCTACCCTGTAAAGCAGTACTAAAGTAGGGGGAAAAAAAGTCAACAAGCTGTTTGCTGCAATATATATATTTTAATTCAAAGTGAATCAACAGTAATACACCATAAATTCTTATTTTGACACTCACCAAAATAGTCACCTGGAAAACCCGCTTTTTGTGACAAAGTACAGAAGGCTTGGTCACATTTAAATCACTGAGAACTAGAGAGAAATACTATCGCAAACTGTAATAGACATTACATCCATAAAAATTTTCCCAGTCCTTATTGTAATATTGCACAGTGCAATTGCTACATGGCAAACTAGTGTAGCATAGAAGTAAAAGCAAAAACAAACAAGTCAAAGAGAGCCACAAGTCTAAAATTGTTAACGGTTAACAGTTCAAACTTAGTAATCAAATCTATAGCATTGGATTCATTAAAACAAATCTTCCTACACCTTGCAGTGTATGAGTTAACTTTTACTTAACACAAACCAGATTTAAAATTAGCAGTAGAGATTTTAAAAATTAAAAGGTTTTGCTAAAATAGTAACATATTTAAATACCCTGAAGGAAAAAACTAAATATCAGAATAGTTGATAAAAATTAATTTGCAAATTAAAATAGTATGCAAATATGCAGCTTGGAAATCATGCAGTGTTTTATTTAAGAAAGCATTAAAACCAAAGAAAACTGATAAAAATGGTTTTTAAAGAGGGTATAAATCCACATGCTTTTGTCTCAACATTCTAAATTTAGACTTTAGTAGGATTTTGAAGTTTTTAACTTTTAAACACATCAAAAAGTCCATGATTGCAATTAATTAAGAGCAGTGTATTTAACTGCAATATGCCTTTAACAAACATTACTGTTGCAATGAAAATGTTGACCTTTACCATTTAACTGTCAGTTTAACAAGACTACCTGAGTCTTGGAACTTAAATACAAAAAATATATCATTTCAGGGCAGTAAACATGGCCCTGAACAAAAAGCAAACTGCGCCAGTTTTGTACCTGTTGTGATACGATCGATCTTTTGCACTTGGTGTTTCTGAAACATCCATTGCCAGCGTTGATTCTTTTCCAAGAAATGAGCAGATAACAGTAATCTGCTAGACCATATAAATAAAATCAGAACGCTGTGGATGGCAGCAACTTTGTAAATAGTGACTCCATAAATGTGTCATCTGTAAATAATCTTTTAAATTAATCTTACTCCTTATTATGTGTATTATATATTTTTTCTATTTATATAAAATGCATAGAATTGATTAATAAAAACACTGAAACTTGTGGGGAAAATTAAGTCCTTCATTTTCAGTGTGACTAAAAATGTACTGCTGGTTTTTATTTTATGATCTAATACTGTAATTTTTAAAATCAATCTCAGGCACATTTATTTCATTGATGATTATTAAATAAAACACTGCTTGTGTTAATGGAGTAAAGAAAGGTTCACCCATTATTAGCTTATTGTCAATGCTGTAGTACAGCTGTACTAGTGGTATGCAATTCATTTATAGAGAAATGCTGCAAATCCAAAACATCTGGAGAGGTTTACACCCCAATGCTTTGTACTGTGTATTCCAGTAAATGCTATAAGATTATATTCCAGATTTTAAGGAAAAAAAGTTAAGTCAAGCCTGCAAGATACAGCTTTCTCAAGTCTACACTGCCAGTATGAAAATAAAAAATTAAGTTACATTGATACATCCAAGTTTTTATATGCAGTGATGAGCACAAACATTAATAGAGATAAAATACTGATGCAAAAACACACCCCAAAATAACATATGCAATTATTTTCCATCATTTACAATACAGTAGTTACAATGACACTCCAAACAGAAAAGCAAAGTAAAAAATCAAAACCCCAACTTCTATTTCATGTAGTTAGACTTATACAGAAATCAGAAAGCTAAATAACAACTAGTTAATCATCTAATTTCACAGCTATCTGAAGTGGCAATCGTTATATAGCAGCTTATCTATGATACATTCAAGATAAATGATACAATTTATTACTTGCCTGTAAGCTAAAACACAGCCTCAGTTTAATACCTTTCTTTAAATTCCACCTCTACACTACAATATACTTGAGGTCTATGCAAAAAGTAGCTACCTTTTATATAAGAAATGGATGATTAAGTCTTTGGTGCTGTAAAAGCAACTTCATTTAAACATCATCACCATCACCACCAAGGGAGGAAAAAAGGAAGGGGAAAACCCAAGACACACTTCCTAGGAAAAAAAAAAAAAAGCATGTAATTTTTGTCCCTGACGGAATGTATTAAATAAGCAAACACCACCAACAAGCAAAACAATTACTACAATGTAAAAATACTTTAAAAAAATAACCAAAAACCAAAAACCCTCTCACATGCATAAATGAAAAATTGCACACAAAGAACTCACATCTTTTCAAGCTTCAATAGTAAATATTCTGCTACTATTTATTAAATACTGCGTGGTCTGCCCAAGCTAAGATGAAACCACATCATGAATCAATGAGCATTTTGCATTTTCTTTCATTATCTACTCAAAGTCATGCCTACCGCACCTCTAAACATTTTTAAATCCAATTATACAGCAAACACTCCCAAAATAAACTTAGATTGTATTGCAGTTTCACTTAACAGTATATAAAAAGCTGTGCTGTGACAGTTATCAACTATCCATTAGATACTGAATCAATTTTTCTTAAGCACTACAAACTCCTTGCTTTTCTTGAAGCTAGATCATTCTGAAAAATCAGACAGTAGATTTCAGCTATAGCAAACATGCTGCCCTCTTAATAAGGAAAGAACAGCTACCATCTGAAATCATACCACACAAAACCAAAAATGAACATTACTCTATCAAAAGAAAACTAAAGAGTAGGTCTGGATTTTAAGTGCTGCAGTCCTCAACATTTATAGATAGGTAATAACATTAACAACCTCAAATATTTAAGGCACTATGTGTGGGAACGGTTTACAATGCAGCTGAGATTATTAGAACAACATTAAGAGCAAAGTCTAGGCAACATTTTGCCCATGCAAAAGACACATGCAAATGTAAAGAACAATAGCTCAATTTCTTAGGTTATGTGACCCAACATTTATACACTAAGACACAGATAATACAATTCACTGTACGCTGTAATTCTGACATATGTGCATCTGTTGCTCTAAGTCTGTACACAGAATGGCTTCCCAAATGTGGACGTGTCTTGCACTAGTTAGAAGGCAATTTTATAAAAAATAGCAGGAGCAAAACTGGACTTCTGCTCCCATAAGTCACCTGTCTAGTTACTACATAAGAAGATAACATGACCAAAGACAAGTTATACCAAATGTGCAAAACACATTAAAAGTTGAGATTTTTTTTTTAAAGCTCAAAGTTGTTTAAATTGCACCCAAGTCTACATGATTCAAAAATAGTTTTCTTGTGCCATGGCTAATACTTATTAAATACCATGTCTTTATTTTAATCAAATGTTTGTGTCATTGAGCTTCCTCAATATGCTGTTTTTGACTTTTCACATATATGGATACTGGCTGAGTTTGGTTGGACTCAGTGGAAATCCAGTATATGCAGGTGATGCTGCAATGTAAGAATGTGGTGGGAAGATTGGCTTGTACTGAGTCTGATGAATGGTTGGGGATGGTAAGAGGCGGGGATTTATGCCCACAGGGACTTGGTGAACTATGCCACTGGGATGGGAGATATTGTAAGTCGGATGCTGTAACATAGGTCTTGAGGTACATGGAGAGGCTAAGAGGTGGGCCACTGGTGCAGCACTACTGAGGGTGGCTGATGATGGGTATGGAAGTAGAGTAGGCTGTCCTCCGAGGTGTGTATTTCCAGCCAAATGGGCATGCACCGCTGTGTGGTTAGGACTTCCATGAGAAAGAGTGAATGGATTACTGGTAACATTAGTAGGGATGTAAGCTTGCTGTCTTCGATGTCCAAAGTTTCCATTCCACTCTTGATGCCCAGATCCAAAGTGCTGAACCTAATCACAAAGAAAAAACTGACTGAATAACATATTTCATAAGATCAAAGGACAGGAGGAAAGAGACTGTGACTGATTAACTCACAGTACATCACTCAGACTTTTAGCTTATACCAAGGTAAGTAGAGAGAAAAGTACCCAACTTTATATGTGTGTATTAATGTTTTAACTTATTACTACATATTATTATATTAACATTACCACTTCTACTGCTAGTTCTATTACTGTCACCATCACTAGTAACAGCTATCATTTGTAAAACACCTATCATATGTAAAGCCAACACTTCATATATGACTTTATTAAATTCCAAAACAACTATTATTCCGATTAACTGTAGTCCAGATTGTTGAAGAGACCTGGCCAAGGTAATATATATAGCATATGGCAAAACTAGGACTTGAACCCAGCTCCAACTCCAATACCTGTGATCTTTTCTTTCCCCAAGTGAAACACAACTGCCAAGCACAGTGCTGAACAGAAAGAAGTGCCCACTAAGGTCAGATAATCACCTCAACTAATACATAAATAAAGCCACCAAGACAGGAATGGTGGTTCATGTCTATAATCCCAGCACTTGGGAGAGAGGGAGGGAGAGCGGAACGAAGGAAGGAAGGAAGGGGGGGTGGGGAAGGAAAGAGAAAGGGAGGGAAGAAGAAAGAAATATAGTCACTAACCTGTAAGTGTATGTTCTGACTTAAAGCACTTGAGACAGCAAACACTACAAATTTCTCTAAGAGAAATGTAAGAATTTGACGAAGAATATAAGCTCCAAGGAAAAGGTGCTTAATTATCCTATTTAGCAGGTTACACTTTAGTCACTTGGATAATGAAAAGGGAAAAAATTTATTGAGACTGCTTATGGTTTCAGAATTTATTCTCCTCTAAGTGGAAAAAAATAAAAATAAAAAAAATAAACAACTGCCAACCTTGAACTACAGACTCTTATGAGTCATAAATAAACATACCTGACTGAAATTCAAATGCTGCTGCTGGAATGCTGATGTTAATTTCTGCTGACGATTACCCCCTACAGAAGGCTGGTTTAGTCTTCCTGGGGCAGACCGTCCTTTTATTAATGGCTGGCATGTAGAATCTGCCCACAACAAGAAATATTAGAGAGTTGGTGCTTTTTCCTTCTCTAATAAAAACTGTAAAAAGTCTTGTATTTTACATAATAGTGATTTAAGAACCTTAAATTTAGATTTTAAAAAAATGGGTATGATTTCTAAACACTGACTATTAAAAAAGATTTTGGGGGGGGGGCTAGAGCATGGCTCAAGTGGTAGAGCACCTGAGTTCTAACCCTCGTCCCCCAAAAATGAAATTTTTTTTAAGGTATAATAGACATGGCAAGGTCAAGGTGGAACTTCAAAGATGATTTCTGACAACCATGTTCTCTGACGTTCCTATATTAAGACCTTTAAAGGTTGATCCGAGTAACGAAAGCCCAGGCAAATTAAAATTGAGAGTATATCCCACACCACTTCGAGGAGGGGAGAGAAAGGATTTTAAAAAGGGAAATCCCAAAGAACTTCAGTGAACTACAGATTTCCAGGTCCCCTCCTCTTTGAAGGAGTTTCCCCTTTTTATTTTCACTTTTCTGTTTCCCCCATAAAAATCCTTTTACTTCTACTCCCCAATAAACTTTGCTAAACTCTCGCTCTCAAAATAAATAAAGTTCAATCAGAGAAACAGGAGTACTCAGTTTACCTGTGTTTGCCATATGCTCTTCCGCACTTAATCCACTGTCTATTCCCATTGGCGGCACCACAACAGTACAAACAGCTGGCTTGGTTTCCGTGTCAGCAGAGGTTACTATTTCTGTGTTTTGAGGAGTGTCCTCCACAAAATTGCTCTCTACAAATGGACTATCATGCCCTGAAGAGTCTGATGTTGGAGAGCCATCCACAGTATCACAGCCACTTTCTTGTTCTTCATCTGACATGCTGCAAGAAAGCATTTTTATGAATGGTATTTTTCCCAACATTAATCTAATGTTGAGTAATATCCAGTCTCCAGTAAACTCATAAGAATTTTATTCAGTTATTTTATACATAATTATTCCTTTTGTCTGACCACTAGCATGTTTTCATAGAATTTGTAGGCCCTCAAATCCATTCTCTATTCCAATGATAACCTAGTTCTGTCCTGTATCAGGAACATCCTTTTGGCACTTGATGTTCTTTCTCATTTCTCTTCCCACTTTCCTCAGTAGCATTTCATTAAAATTCATCTTCTTTAATTCTAGATTCTTTCATCTAAACAAAAGAAGTACTGTTCTGTATAATTTAAATGAAATGTTCAAACATACCAGCATGTGACTAAATCTGGTATTTCAGATTTAATGCTAAGGTTAGGATTTGTTCCTTCCTGAAAGGCCTTCTTGACCTCTCTGCAGACCTAGCTGGAGTCCCAAATTTCTCTTCTCCTCCAGAGATTCCCCTGTGCCCACCTCCTTGAGATTTCTACATTATTATCTGGTTTCTCTGTTTGTTTTGGTGGTACTGGGGTCTGAACTCAGGGCTTTGTGCTTTGCTAAGCAGGTGCTTTATCACTTGAGTCACACCTCCAGACTTATTATCTGTTTTAATCACTCATTACTTTAACAATTTGAAGCATCTTTGTATATATGTATTTTGTTTTTATTTTTATACCTTATGTACTTATATACATATATCAACTTCTAGCCCACATTACAAGTAACTTATAAGCTAAAACCAAATGTATTTCACGAAAATTGTTGTGGCTTATCTCCCAATGTGTTAGCACATCATGCTTGTTAGGAGACTTTCTATTTTAGTGGTAATGCATGTCGCTGGACAAAAGGAAGGTCAGGCAAGGAAATAAGGACAAAAGCATGCAAATCAGTCACCAGTGGTAGAAAAAAAAAAATCACAGTGGTTACTCTATGATAGTGGGCCAGTCAGTACTTCATCATGTACATTCCTTTTCTTTTACTAAAGTATATGCTTATTCCAAATTTAAGTTACAATAGTAACTTAACTCCATGGAGCTCAAGTTGAGAATGTAACTGTTTTTTAATCCTTTCTAAAATAGACGATTCCTTAAAAAATCAATTCTTAGCACTTTAAATTTTCACTTAGAGCTATTCTATAACAATGGAGAAAATTACTACAGAAATCTAAATTTACAAAAAGTGATGTAGTTCAGAAATTGCGTTCAAGAGAGAAATCACTGTGGTAAATTGGCAGATATTAATTTACACACAACAAAAAGAAATCATAGGCTTTTTAGTATACTTGATATTTATTATATACTATTATTGAAATTCTTTTACCTATTCGGTCTCTTGCAAGGGGATGGGCTGGACTGCCCTGAGGAGCTGGTGCTCAGAGTACTATCAGGACTACTTAATGAACACATCCGATCAATATTCAAAGTGCTCTGGCAAGCTTCACAATCGAGACTACCTTTACACCTAGTGGAGAGGGAAGGGGAAAATACGGGTCAAAAATGAGGAGATACTCTCGAAGTAGCCAAAATTTACATTCCTTATTTAAGAATAGAAAACAGCTACCTGGACTAAAATTTGAAGCTTCATTTTAAAGTTTAAGTACAGGTAGAATGCTATAATGATCACATTGAATACTGGAAGTCCCCTCTGTGTAGAACTTGATTATCAGGTAGTACTAGGGTTTGAACTCAGGGCCTCAAGCTTACTTGGTAGGCACTCTACCACTTGAGCCACTCTGCTGGCCCATTTTGTGTTGGTTATTCTTGAGACAGGGTCTCACATTATTCCTGGACTGCAATTTTCCTACTTATGCTTCCCTACATGGCTGGGATGATGGGTTCTCACTACCGCGCCCAGCCACTGGTTGAGATGGGGTTCTCACTTTTTCCCAGGACTGGCCTCAAACCATAAATCCTCCCAATCTTTGCCTCTCAATCAGGATTAAAGACTTGAGCTACCATGCCCAGCTCTGATTACCCATTTGAAGGTTTTATTCTAAAGGATACTGGTAAGGAGAGTCACAGAAAGTTGTTTTTCAGCACTCCAGAGGGCGCCACTATCATTCCTGAAGATGCACGCTGTGGGTGATGCTTACTCTCTGAGTGAATGTCGGGGTGCGGTCTCTTCCTCATCAGTGTCACTGCTAATAGTGATTACACTCACTGCAGGACTCGGGGAGTCGGCGATGATGATCGTTTGCCGTTGTTTGTCTGAAACGGATGAATCGGAGTCCTGGCTGACAGATGCTTCGCAGCAATTTCTTGCCTCTCCTTCAGAGTTATGATTGTCCTGTGTTTCTACACAACTTACTTCCTCGACATCTTTCCCATTCATTATCTTTGGAGAAATAAATGCTGAATGTGGGATATTGGTATTCTGCAATGAATTACCCCTGCAACCAAAGGAATAATTTGTAATTTCTACAATCAAAACATGGGAATGACATTTTCTAAGGTATCTTGTCAGTAAAATGAACAATGCAAACCTTCACTTGTTCAAGTTAATTTATAACATACTGATGTGAGGTTTTGTCAAATGTAAAATATTATCTCCAAAATTATCAGAGTAGATTCTATTTACACACATTTAAATGGTCATTTCTGATAATATCTGAATGTCTACAATTGCTATGTTATGGATAGATAATAAATCAAAAGGGCAATAAAGACAATCTTACCAACTGAAAGCATTTATTTCCTCTCTTCCTGGCTCCCATTCCATTAGTTTTACCAAAATACCTCTGAGAAATCGAGAAGGGAGCTCGCTTAGTGTTTGCAACAAAGCTAGCAAAGAGGTCATTTTGAATACAACAGAGTGACCCTTTCAGTGTGCATGCAAAATTCATTTTAAAGACTAATTTTCAAAATGTAAGGAAAGTTAAAGCACAAAATTCATTTTAAAGACTAATTTTCAAAATGTAAGGAAAGTTAAAGTACTAAAACCAACCTGTTCTGACATAGTTTATTTTTCTTGGTAGTGGCAGGTTGGGGCCAGACAACATGTGCAATGCCCACGCTGATAGGCTGAGGGGCTGATAAAGTTATCTGATTGGTTAAAAGAGGCTGCGGCATCATGGAGTTGTAGTGATTGCTGTGTGTAATCATTTTCCTAGGGAGAAAGTTCAGAAAAATTGAATCTCCTCTTTACCAAGATCTATTTTACAGGCTACTCACTAAAAAGTACTTTTGTTTTGAACTCACCCCCAGTCTCCAAGTCTCTGAGAACTGGCCACACCCTCAGCAGTTAGTGCTGCAGTAGCAGGAGGCATGGGTGTTACCTGTTGCCAGGTAGGTACCAGCATCTGCTGTGTTCTACCAGACCATGTCTGCTGCATCAGAACAAACCAACCAAAAAGAAACAACTAAGTTACAAATAATTCACCTCAATCTCAAAAATATATTAAAGCAAGAATTAATTATAAAAGCTCAAGGTAATAACCTATAAAAAGGATTAATCTCCTCATCTGTCACTACTTCTCCACATGTACAGCACAGGCTTATACATGATAAAGTGCTCAGTACTCTGTTTATGTGTAAGGAAGACAGCATATATAAAAAACAAAAACAACAACAAAAAAAAACCTGACCAACCTGTGAGAGAACTCCTGGTCGGATCTGCAGTGGCTGCACCGCTGGAGCCTGAGTCACAAGTGGCACTGTGCTGTCCACCCTTATGGAGTAGCTGGTGGGTTTACCATGTGCTGCAGGAATGCCTGTGAAACAGAGTGGTTATCCAACAGGAGAAAAAAAATCTTCCTCTGATTTAACTATTTTTAGATGTAAAGAAATCCTTAAACTCTGACTGGGTTTATAACCATTTCCCACATAAAATTTTCCTAACACTGACAAAGTAATCTATTAGGAAAGTGCAGTACTTCCTATCTAGTTTGTGATACATCATTCCGACATTGCTACAAAGCTACTTTTTCTGTTTTAAAATGTGTGCTACAAAACTAAGTCATTTATTTTTCTTGAAACTTTTCATTTCCTTTGGAAGTTTACCACTGTAGCTTATCTACTTTTCAATTAGTTCTACCACTGTGACAAAGGACCTGGAAAGGTGAGTCCTGATTATCCAGCAGGTAAGTGTGCCTCTTTTCATACAAACTCATAGCTATGCTTAGTAATTTCTTCTTTGAAACTGTGGCAGGATCTCATACTCTCATCACCAAAAGAGGGGTACAATACATTTCAAAATTCAGTTAACATGATAGCTCACATAAGGGAATTGGAAATTTGGGGACTTCTGATTTTTGGAATGGCATATATTCATATGCTTACTACCATATTTCAAATTCCAAAGGAAAAGCAAAAAATAACCTTCTCTGCCTAATTTGATGATATAACCAAGCTTTGCTTGGTATGGCATAATGGAATAGTGTTCCTAGAAGCAAGCTGCTGGAAGGCGGAAACAAAAATACCATTCTGCTTATCCACTAGAAATATTACAAAGTAAGATTGCCAGCCATCTAAATCCTGCTCATGTTAATTTTTCTCTTCAATATATCTCAAAGCACCTTGCAAATATTAAGTCTTAATTAAATACTGAACTTTGAGACAGCAAAGTGATATCAAACCCCAACATAAAGCTTTAACTAACAAGATTCTTGGCCATCCTCCCAAGATCAGAAAGCAATTAACTAAAATAAATTCTCTGTGTCATAATTCCAAACTATTGTAGCAGTCACTTTCAATATGGATAGGGAGACTGTTTAAATACAGTCATGCGTCACTTAATGACAGGCATACCTATCATTAGGGAGGTCATTAGGTGATTTCATTAATCGTGTGAACAGTACAGAGTGTACTGACACACGCTTAGGTGGCTACCACATCACTAAGCAATATAATCTGAAGGGACCACAGTAGTATAGGCAGCCTGTTGTTGACCAAAACATTGTAACACCTGGATGAAAGTGAGGTTGGGTATTTCTCTTTAGCCATAAGAAAAAATACAATTGTTTTCCTTTTCTTATGGAAAACAATCTAGAATTTTTTAATTGTTTAACTATACAATGAGTGTTAATCCTAAAGACAATGTTAATTTTGCCCTATGTATTTTCTTCACAGAGACTTTTATTTTACTGACAGGGTGTTCTTCTACTTTCTGTGGTCTTCCTAAAGAGCTAGATATGAATTAAGTTTACAGAACTTCAGATTCTTTTTTCTAACTCATCTTCTAACTCTTCCAAAAAGCATGTCTTGATGAGCAACCTCTCCCAAAAACAGACTATAAGCACACCCAAGCAGTGTATATAATGCAGAAATAGATAATTTCTACAAGAAAAAAATTCACTTTGATAGGGATGAAAAGTGAATGCCCAAATATGAACAAAAATAATACTGCCTTTAAGTTTTCTCCATATTCAGTGCCTTAAGTGAGAAGCATTTCTCCATACTTCTCTCTTGTGAAATCTATTTTTAATCAAACTCAATAGTTAAGATCTCAATTTTTTATCGCTTCTTGGCCTTTTGGCTAAGATCAAGTGTAGTATCTGTTCTTATCAACTTAATATCTGATCCGTCCTCTATCCGAGGACAACACATTAAATGGATATTTGGAACAGGGGATGGAAAAGGGGCCTGCTCCGTCCACTCCACGCATCGACCTGGTATTGCAGTAGCTCCAGGAACGGTGCACTCCTCCGGGGACTCACATGATTGTTGAAAAGTCAGAATATGGGGTGGGGTGTTTTGGTTTTTTTTTTGAATGTGGGTGTAGATCTAGAAGTTTAAGCTTTTTGTGTTTACTCAGGGCCTACACTTTGGACCAAGCTACTCCGCCAGACCTTCCATGTGTTTTTTTCGACTACTTGTTCGGGCTGGCTTTGACTACGATGTTGTTCAGTAGCTAGATTACAGATGTCAGCCATAATTTTCTTGCAATTTTTCTGTAAATTTGAAATTATTTCACAAAATGCTTATTAAAAAAAATCTCAATTTTTCATAGTTATTAATTAGCTAAAACTTGGTCTTTGATTAAATTTTCTTTAATGCTTGGAAAACAGGCATAAAAATTTTATGAAGGTTTTTAGTTCAGCAGAACAGAATTTTGCTGTAATGTATTTGACTCTAAAATAGTAGTTTTTGTTTAGAGGAGTTAACTAACTTTTCAGATTGCTAAATGCTTTTAAATGCCTATTTAATATATACAACTTTCGCTCAGATTTGCTGGATTTTAAAAGTTTGGCCAAGTATCTAAATTTTTTTTTTTTGAATAAGCACAGCCTTTTGGATATGGTACCTATATGGAAATACTCACATATCATATTTATAATAAATAAAATATATGGGATGCATGACAAAAACACCATAGCCCAAATGCAAAGTAAAAATTTTAAGTGATAGGGATTAGCATAAAAATTATTTTGAAATACAAACTATAATAGTGCCAAAATTACTACCTAGTAGCTTCCAAACAATTAGTTTGAAATGTTTCTTATCAATAGATTGGGACATTATGAGGACAAGGTAAGGACCAAAACTGAGATTTTCTAGATGCTAAGACTGACTAGAGGGAAGGCTTTCACTTCTAAGGTACGTACATTGTAAGCTACTCACACACTTGCTACCTGATGTACAGAAAGGTTATTAAATCTATCAATTATAAGCCACATAAAAATATAAAGGTTTTGTCTAATCTCACTGAAATGTTTTAAGAATGATGCTTAATCCTGTTTAGAAATGTATCCCATAAGTCTCAGGTTTTTGGTATACATAGAAGATAAGCTCTGAATAAAATTGTTATTCCAAATCTTCATAAAATATATCATGTGTAGCCGTGCACTGATGACTCACGCCTATAATTCTAGCTTCCTGGGAAGCAGAGATCAGGAAGATCATAGTTTGAAGACAGCCTGGGCAAACAGTTCATGAGATCCTATCTTGAAAATACCCAATACAAAAAAGGGCTGGTGGAGTGGTTCAAGTGGTAAGAGCCTGTCTAGCAAGCATGAGGTCCTGGATTCAAACCCCAATATCAACAAAAAAGAAAAAAACACATGTAGATGAGTAACTTTCAAACTGACTGTTACACAAGACAGATTATCAGAACCAAAGAACCTATTTGTTAATACAGACTATAAACTTACCTAAGTGAAAAGTCATAAAGCCTACCACTTTCCAATGATAAATGCACAAACAAGGTAAAATATGAACACTTGTTGAATGTAAAACAAAATATAATACATTATTCTTTCAACTTCTGCTTGAAACTCTCAGGTGAAGAAAAACAAAACAGTATCTTGGACAAGTGCTAACTATTTGATGATAAGTATTGTTACTACCAGAGGCCAGCCAGAGGTCACTGGTCACTGTCAAAGGTATTCATAGACCACCCATGAGACCACAACTTCATCTTAAGAACCAACTGTCTAAGTTGTCACTGGTAACATACTTCCAGTGATATAAGCCTTTCTCCAATGAGCCTTATATGAAAACCCCATACAGTCACCTACCACATAAAAACATTTAGGTCAAAAACAGACCACAATGGGGTTCCCTTAAGATTATCCTATCTACTGCCATTGCTATCTTTGCTTAAGTACACTCTATGATGTTTGCACAATAACAAAACCACCTAATGATACATTGCTCAAATCATATCTGTAATTAAGCAATGCATGACTGCATATAAAGGACCACTCACTAAGAAAATAAAGAGATTTGACCTGCTTTTATCTCTGTTATCACCAGCCAATCAAGTCAATAAATACATTCCTGGTGCTTTGTTAGGCCATGTGGGAGACATTAAAATAAAATTTCTAAGAAGTTTCTCAATTGCTTAAATTGAATTTAAAAATTCAAGTAACTTTCAAAATTGGGAAATACCGGAGCTAGAAGTTAACATATTTTCTACTCATCTTTTTTTTTTAACTAAGGCTGAAACAACTAAACAGACTTGTCTACAGTAGTAGTAAAGAGACAGCAAAGCCAGAGCTGCACCCAGCTGTCATGACTCTCACCGGCCACTTTCATCTCAAGTGTGCAGTGTTACCATTAAGTTGCCCATAATCACTTTGGGCCACTGGCAACCAACCTCTTGCTTTAAGTCGTAGACACAAAAGCCTAGCAAAAAGTCGTAAGAAAGGCCCTAAAAAGTTTTATTTTTGTTATTCCTACTGAAAAGTTTATTGCTGTCGCCTTCTAATAAAACCTTTAAGAGACTTTTTAGTTTGAGAATTTTTGACATCTTCAAAGGTATTCAGAGCTCATCCCACTTAAAGATTTAATCTGCTATTTTCATCTAAAGAAGGGACATCATCTAACTTAGTCAAAACCAATCCATAATTAATTTTTTCCTAAGATATGGGTAAAGAATAAGACTGCACCGTTTTAGGATGGAACTCATTTTACTAAAATTTTAAAGAACTAAAAAAAGAAAAAAAATTAAACAACTGAGCTCTCAAGCTAATAGCATAGACCAGTGGTAGAACACGTGCCCAGCACGTGCAAAGCCCTGGGTTTAATCCCCAGCAATCACCACCCCATCCCATTCCACCCGCCCCAAAAAAGGGGAGAAAATAAAAGAAACTTAGTTCTCAGTCATTTTAATGTTAAGTAATAACAGATAATATAAACTCACCTGAACATCTAACACAGTGATATCCAGTATCATTGTGCCTTTCAGAGCTCATTAATTTCTATTAAGGTATTTTACTCGCCAGACTCCACAGGAAATACACTTGTCATGTGATTCATTTTGTCATGATCACAATGGAGCTCCAGTCAGGAAACGAGTATCACTGGTCTAAAGGCTACTGAATAGCTTAAATTAAATTCAAATGTATCACTAAAGTACAAAACACGTTCAACGAACAGATGCCTAAACTTGTTTAAAAATAATACATCCCTAAATTCAAAGTAGCATGAAATGAAAGAGTACCTTGAATAGTTGGGGGACAGATAATAAGTGTCTGCTGGAAAGCATCTCCACACCCGAACTGTGCAGTTCCTGCCTGCAGAGGAATCCCATGATGCACAACTGAATGAGCAGACGCAGCCAATGCCTGAAACAGTCAATGCACGCATGTTACACACAGCAGCCCGTTGATGACACCACACACTGCTGCACAAACAAAACCCACACAAACTTCTTAAAATCACAATTCTACTACTAAAATGGAGACAGAAAATTAAAACAAAAACAAACACTAACCAAAATAAAACTTAACAAATTTTAGAGCTGTGACACAAAGGGCAAAAGAGGAAGATATTGAGAGAATGAAAGAGGAAAGGAAACAAGTTAATTTGAGTTGTTATGTTCTGACTGCTTTAGATAACAGAATGGCCACACTAAGTCCCCACCTGCACTGCTCCATCTAATTGCCAACATGAGATTTCCACGCTTCAAAAGGAAAATGAGCAACATAAATTATTAACTCTATTTCTTACCTGACTTCTTAATGTTCCAATTTTAGTAAAGTTTGTTGATAGAGTAGCAGTACTACTTGAAGCAACTGGTCTTAAAAGTGAAGTTTTATTGTGATTATTTGTGTCACATGGATTTGGGTGGGACTTACAAATATCCATAATATGAAAACAGGACTTTACACTGCAAAAGAAAAAATGAAAGGTGTTGTAAGAGTATTTTAAATGCTTAGTAGTTTAAAATGAAAGTACATTTACAAAATAAAAATTATTTAGATACTTGGGAAACAGAGATAGGAGGATAGCAGTTCAAGATCAGCCTGGCAAAAAAGTTAACAAGACACTATCTCAAAAATCAAGCTGGACATGGTAGTATACATCTGTAATCCCAGCTACAAGGGAGGCTTGGGAAAGGGATTACAGTCCAAGGCCAACCCAGACAAAAAGCACAAGACCCTACTGGAAAAATAACTAAAGCAAAAAAGGGCTAGAGGCATGGCAAGTGATAGAGTTCTTACCTAACAAGCACAAAGATCCTAAGTTCAAAACCCTGCACCATCAAAAAAATTATTTAGAAAAGAATAAAATTCTATGATTTGTACTTAATCTACTATTTTCCAGTATTCTTTCTAACAGGCAATCCTACAAGACTGAATTTCAAAGCAAGTAAAAGTATATATTATATGGACAATATTTTCAAAAACAGCAAAGCAGTAGTAAGCACTTTTTTTGTTTAGCACACAATAATTTTATGACCCTCTAGCCTAGATAATTGTGATACCACTAAATAATGGTATCAAATATGTCATTATCACATTATTTTCAAAGTAATTGCCTATGGAAACCAGTAGGATAATTTTTAAATGTTTGGGGGAAATGTAATTGACTTTATGAAAATATCCATTTTCAGGGCAATTCACTGTAATAAATGTTAGTTCATCCCTATGCCTGCTTCATTAAATCTATTCAAAATGATAAATCAAGCTCTCGTAAGTCATTTATTTTACTTACTCCATCACATTAAAAAAAAGAGGTCTGGGACTCAAAAATTTTGGAAGATTTGCCTAAGGAAACTCCAATAAGGCCCTCAGAATTGGGCATATATTCTTCTGTACTAACAACTCATTAAAAAATGTCTTTTACTTCTAGATGTGGAGAACAAGAAGAGGAAAAAGGAAAGCAGAAGGTATGAAGGAAAATGGAGTTTGCAGCACAGCAACTAAGAGACAGCATAGATAAATGGGACTTCATAAAACTAAAAAGCTTCTGCTCAATAAAAGAAATGGTCTCTAAACTGAAGAGAACACCCATAGAGTGGGAGAAAATATTTGCCAGCTACACATCAGACAAAGGACTGATAACCAGAATCTATAGGGAACTTAAAAAACTAAATTCTCCCAAAACTAATGAACCAATAAAGAAATGGGCATGGGACTGCATCAAACTAAAGAGCTTCTGCACAGCAAAGGAAACAGTCACCAGATTCAAAAGACAGTCCACAGGATAGGAGAAAATCTTTGCCAGCTACTCATCTGTCAAGGGACTAATATCCAGAATCTACGGGGAACTCAAAAAACTCAGCCCCCAAAGAATTAACACCCTAATGAAGAAATGGGCACATGAATTAAATAGGGAATTCTCAAAGGAAGAGGTACAAATGGCCAGTAAATATATGAAGAAGTGTTCAACTTCCCTGGTTATAAAAGAGATGCAAATCAAAACAATGTTTACATTTCATCTCATCCCAGTTAGATCTTACCCTTGGCCATAATCAAGGGTAATAACAACAACAAATGCTGGTGAGGATGTGGTGAAACAGGAAACCTTATACACTGCTGGTGGGAATGCAAATTAGCACCACCATTATGGAAAGTAATATGGAAATTCCTCAAAAAACTAGAGATAGGAGTGTCATATGATCCAGTGATACCACTCCTGGGCATCTACCTAACAGAATGTAAGACAGGATACAGTAGAGACACCTGTACACCGATGTTCATCGTAGCACTATTCACAACACCCAAGCTCTTGAAACAACCCAGATGCCCTACAACTGATGAATGGATCATGAAATTGTGGTACATATACACAATTGAGTGTCACTCAGCCATGAGGAATAATGACGTGGTTTGAAGGTAAATGGATGAAATTGTAGGACATCATGTTAAGTGAAGTTAGGATCAGAAACACAAAAGCCACATGCTTTCTCTCATACGTGAAGATAGGTCCCAAGATAAGCATATACACAAAAACAAGCATGATCATTTACAAACTCAGATGTAGCACATGTTTGTAACAGTGGAACTGCTCTATGGAACTTGGGGAAAGAGGAAAAGAGAACGATACAGCATCAGTAATATCGCATACCATAAGATGTGAAGGTAGAGGATATAAGGATGTGTATTGAAAACTGTTGAAAAACAGGGGTGGGAGATAAAGGGGTAAGGGAGAATATCTGAAGGGATTGAACAGACCGAAGTAAAGCACACCCACAGCCGGCATACATTGAGACACCCCATTGAATGTCAACTCAAACATTAATAATGAAAACCAGGACTGTAAAATAAGCACACTGTGTGCAGGGGGAGGGGAGGTACTAGCGGGAGGGGAAGGGGAGGGCAAAGGAAGAATATTAAGGTGATGGTATATGGTTGATGGACTTTACACACCTATATGAAACTGAACTAAAAAAACCTCTTGTACTTGCTTTAAGTGGGTGGGGTGGGGGTGCTGATAGGGAGAGATGATGATGGAAATGTAAATAATGTACATTATAAGACCAATCTGAATTGTTACTATGAATCCCCCCTCCGTATAATGAATATATCCTAATAAAAATTTTATTAAAAAAAAAAAGAAATAGGCAAGTGAACTAAACAGAACTTTCTCAAAAGAAGAAATTCAAATGGCCAACAAACACATGAAAAAATGCTCACCATCTCTAGCAATAAAGGAAATGCAAATTAAAACCACACTAAGATTCCACCTCACCCCTGTTAGAATAGCCATCATTAGCAACACCACCAACAACAGGTGTTGGCAAGGATGTGGGGGAAAAAGGAACCCTCTTACACTGTTGGTGGGAATGTAAACTAGTACAACCACTCTGGAAAAAAATTTGAAGGTTACTTAAAAAGCTAAACATTGATCTACTATATGATTCAGCAATACCACTCTTGGGGATATACCCAAAAGAATGTGACACAGGTTACTCCAGAGGCACCTGCATACCCATGTTTATTGCAGCACTATTCACAATAGCCAAGTTATGGAAACAGCCAAAATGCCTCACGACTGATGAATGAATCAAGAAAATGTGGTATTTATACACAAAGGAATTTTATGCAGCCATGAAGAAGAATGAAATGCTATCATTTGCAGGTAAATGGATGGAATTGGAGAACATCATTCTGAGTGTTAACCTGGCCCAAAAGACCAAAAATCGTATGTTCTCCCTCATATGCGGACATTAGATCAAGGGCAAACACAACAAGGGGATTGGACTTTGATCACATGATAAAAGGAAGAGCACACAAGGAAGGTATGAGGATAGGTAAAACACCTAAAAAACTAGATAGCATTTGTTGCCCTCAACGCAGAGAAACTAAAGCAGATACTTTAAAACAACTGAGGCCAATAGGAGAAGGGGACCAGAAACTAGAGAAAAGGTTAGATCAAGAAGAATTAACCTAGAAGGTAACACACATGCACAGGAAATTAATGTCAGTCAACTCCCTGTATAGCTATCCTTATCTCAACTAGCAAAATCCCTTGGTCCTTCCTATTATTGCTTATACTCTCTCTTCAACAAAATAAGAGATAAGGGCAAAATAGTTTCTGCCGGGTAGCGAGGGGTAAGGGAGGGGGCGGGGGGTGGGGGAAGGGGAGAGAAATGACCCAAACATTGTATGCACATATGAAAAAAATAAAAATTAAAAAAAAGAAAGAAAGAAAATGGAGTTTGCAGAATTCAAAAGAGGATAAAACCTAAGCTCTGTGAAAGCTGAAATGTGACTGACTTGGAGAGAAAACTAACGTTTCCTTTTATATGTCCTTGGTTGTGAAGGTAGGAATGCTGTGGAAAAGCATTGTGGTCACTCTGTTCAGACTGACCCTTGGAAGAAATAACACCAAGTGCATTCACACTTGTGCCCTGGTTCCACCCGGCCATTTTCTAGTCTATGTGAAGACTAGCCAAGTCAGCTCAATCTCTGACTCAGTTTATTTTTATTTCATGAAGAAACCTCATTTTCTAACACACTGATTTTCTATACACCCATATTAATGTTTTTCAAGAACTAATATAAAAGATTATAAAATGACATACTGGTTGCTATGAGGAAAATCCAGAAGATGCTTCATATTAACAAAAGGATGGTTCAGCGTCTCAGCTGGAGTAATTCTTAAATCTGCATCAATCAGCAACATTTTCTTCAACAGACTAACAAATTCTCTTCTATCGGCTTTCTCAGCCAAAAGATCACTTCCTTCTAAATCCATCACTGTGTTCACCTAAGAAGTCAAAATTTCAAGTCATCAGATAAAAATGAGCCACAGAAGAGTAGAGTATGTTAAAATTATACTGCTTTTAAAAATACAAAAAAAACAGGAAACTACAATTATCTTGAAATAAAGAATAACCGAAATTAACAAATCTTCAAGATTTTTTAAGAAGTCAAAGCAAGGAGAAATTTTTCCTAATTAAACAAATACTCATTTCTAATGAGACACAAGGAAAACACCAGGATTTTTCCTTTTAAAGAAAAAAACATTTTTCACTATCTAATAGCACAGGATATAACTGATAGGGACAGGTGCAGTTTAGCTCCTGAAAGGGTGAAACTTGAAGAGTTGATTTTTATCTGAAATACTCAAAAACAGAAAGCTCTAGCATCATTAGAAAATGAGTAACACGTTTTAGCACTCAAGTCTCTCGTCTTGAGCACACAGCGATAGCGATGGTGGCATGGCACTCACATGCGCTATATCATCCAGACTGTTGAATATGTACTTTCTGGCTTCTTTAGACTTCATTCCTGTCTCTGTCTCATGCTCTTCCAGTGTCTTATTGCATATGTCAAGAGAAAAATAATATATTATTACCTCTCATTTCTAAATTTCTATTTCTTTAATCCTGGCACATTTAGCTTAATGTTGAGTATTCTAAAGCAGTTTCAAAAGAATAATTAGCAAAAACGTGTTTTTTGAACAGTGCAAATAAATAAAATGTGGAGCTAGGCACAGAGCCCATGCCTGTAACCCCAGCACTTGGAGACAGGAGGATCTTGAGTTCAAGGCTGGCCTGGGCTAAATAGTAATACAACAACAAAACCTAATTATAAAATTAATTACTAAGAATTTACTGATGGCCAAAGACCTTACACACTTGGGACAGGTAGTAAGTGGTTAAATTCAGTCCTTCTCCTATAAAGCTTAATATTGCAGAACTGAATGAAGAAGATAAACCCACAACACAAATGTAGTTATACATTAAAAGTTTTTAAAATATTAAAGATGAGTTAATTATGTTGTCAGGTTAGAGAATGAGCTAAATTATTCTGAGAGGGCTTTCTGCTGACAGAAGGGTAGAAAACCAAAATTTAAAAGGATGAAATTCAATAAAATAAAAATAGCATGGAAGGTATTATCCATGCATATATGCATGTTAGAAAACTGTTATCTAAATATTATGTTTTTTAATGAGTTACCTTTAATCTCCAACCAGAATGAGACATATCTGTTTCTCTGCAAAAAAATCTTGTGGATTTTGTACCCACATTTAACAACTGTTCTCCTGGTAAACCTTGAGTCTGAGAAATGTATCGAATCTGAAAAGCAATTCAAAAAGCAAAGTTTATTCTTTCATGTATGGACATTAATTAAACATATATCAGACACTATGCTAGATGTTAAGTTAGAAATGAAAATATACTATCTGTGCCCTCAATAAATTCATATTCTAGTGGGAAGCATACAAAGAAACAGTTATTATAGAGTGTTTTAAGTATCACAATAAACAAATAATTTAAGGAAAAAACAGGTCTGCTTAAAATAATTGTAGTCAGAGTTCCTTGAGAAAAAATCTGATCTATACAAACTTGATAATATATGTAAATAAGGAAAATCAAGAAAGAATACCCACATATTCAAAGCCAGAAAGTACAGATTTACTAAGGAAGACACAGCAAGAGATGAAACTGAAGCAGCAGGCAAAAGGCTTTATCAATATGTTAAGAAGTTTCAATTTTATTACAGGAGGTGATCACGGAAAACCACTAGAAACATTTAAGCAAGAAATGAATAAGTTATATTTTTCAGCAGTACTGGGACTTGAACTTGGGACCTCACACTTGCTAGGCAGGCAGTCTACCACTTGAGCCATGCCTCTAGCCCAAATAACTTACCTTTTAAAGTAATGTCTACGGATAGATGAGGCCAGAGTAGAAATGAAGGGGGTCTAACTGAGAGAATGGGTGAGGCTAGAGAGGGAGGAATACATTTAAGAGTGCTTTAGATTGATGGCATGGATGAATTATCAATGAGGAGATAGAAAGGGAAACTTCCATGAGGCAGTGGCATATGTGTAGTCGTATCTACAGCAGAAGAGACATGGTTATAGATAAGCTCTCCCGAGGAACACAGTAAGAGCTCCAGCCTCACAGCTTCTGAATTTCATGTTTCTTTTTTGAAACATCTATTCCCAGACAGCCATATGGCTCCAATGTCACTTTCAAAGTCAATAAGCAACAGCAAGCTCTGTCCTTCTGAGCAACCCTCATCCTCCTGACTATATTTTTCTCCGCCATGCCTTTTACTATCTGATATCCTATACTTTCTCTTTCCATTTTCTCACCCCACTCTCCATTAGACTCTAGGTTCTATGAAGGGAGGAACTTTGCTTGTTTACTTACATAGCCTCAAAATCCACATGGCAGGTTCTTGAATATTAGTTATTCCACTAATGACTGGGTAGAAGAGGGACAAAACAGGGCCCCAAAAATGGGAGAGATATGTGGGGCCAAAATGGTCCTTTTGACTTCCTTCTTTTTTATAACCTCAAGGACACTCTGCTTTATCACTTAGTCTATCCTTTCCTGTATCTTCTATTTCTTCTCTCTACAAACTCGTTCTCCTCAGACAAAACAAAACAGCTCTTTTTCTACTCAGTTTAGTGCCTGAAAACAATAACCTATTTCATTCTGATATGAACCTCAATATACAGCAATCTAAATTCTTTCTCAGTCTCATGATATGGTGCCAAGGCAAGTAACGGCCTCTTAGCACTGAATGTATTCAATGATCATCTTATTTTGATACTAATGGCTACAACCTTTTTACTAAAAATTCTGTACATTCAATTTCCACAACACGATTTTCTGGTTCTCTTTCTACTTTATGATACCCTTTAGCTGCCTCTCTCCCTGTGTTCTTTATATGGTACTGCTTTCTAGACTTTTGTCTTCCTTTGTCCCTTATAAATCCTAAGTGCCCGCAGTTTTTTATCTCTAAATCTGTCTCTAAATTTTTATCTCTAGCCCTGGAGCTCCAGACTCAATTGCTAGTGGACACTCTCCTGGGCTGGACCTTAGATGCTTCAAACTGAACACACCCTAACTTGATTCTCCCTCAAATGTGCTAATCTTTATGTATTTTATCATGTATCTGATTAATAGCAACACTATGCACCCAAATCAGAACCTGAAATTTGTGCCAGACAAGTACCTGCCTCTTCCCTCATCACCCTCCTCCCAAATCCAAAAACCTAACAATTCTACCTTATTGGCATTTTTCATAACTGTCTCCTCTTCTCCATCCCTATTTTGGGTCTTGAATTCTGATTTATACAGCATCACAACCTTGCTCATTATTCCACCTGCTTCCACTCTCCCTAATGTCCCCACCCACTCACCCCAATTCATTATTTGAATGGCTACAGCCATTTTGGAAATATATAAGTCTGACTGTAACTTCCCTGTACATTTAGTGACCACAGGACCCCAATTCCAAATTTCTAATCATGCTATACTGGCCCTCTGGGTTTTATGTCTTCCCTCCTCTTTTATATTCTCCTGCACATCGGCCTCCATCTAGTAGAAAGCTAAGCTTTGCATGGGCCAATTTCTCTTTGATTACAAACTCCTTACTAATAATTCATCTCCTCCCTTCATCAAATCAACATTTCAGATTTTTGCTATTCCTTTTTTAATACCAAATTCAAGTTGGGCATGATGGCACACACCTGTAATCCCAGCACGGAGAGGCAAAGGACAGCAGGATTGAGAGTTTGAGGCCAGCATGGGCTACCCAGTAAGATCCTGTCTCAAAAAAAAAAAAGGACCAGGTTCAAGAATCTTCTCTATAAAGCCATGCCTGGCCATACCAAACAAAGATAATTACTCTCCTATGTGGTATCAACTGGCCTAGAACATAATAAATTTAATGCCTTTATAACATACCTTTCTTTTATATTTGTTTTATCAGTAGATTATGAACCTCCTTACAACATGTTCTATGCTTTATCCCTGTTTGTACCCCCAATGTTAAATAAAATGACAACTAAAACCTCTACATTACCAATTAGCTTCATTTCATTAAAATGCTGTTCCTTTCCCCCATTTCCATCCCCTAAAATAACTATAGTCCTTATTCTAAGGAAACAGAAAATAGAGGGAAAAAAAAGCAGAAACAGTTCAGTACCTAGGTATTGCCCCAGGTAGGAAATCCATCAGCAATTCAATTTTGACAAACACAGTGTAACCACTACTACATGTAGTGATTGACCAAAAAAAAAGAAAAAAAAGGCAGTGACTAGCCTTTTGCCTCCCACTTCTCCCCTCAATGAAGAGTGGAGCTCTGACTCATACGCATGTAATTCATAAACTGACCTTGTGAGCTCAACTAGATATCAGCTACGCAAAGCATATTTCCAATGTCAGAAATGTGAAGTAAGAAGTACCAATCAGTGTGGGGGCATGAACTGAAGGGTTACAGGTAGTGCTAGAATTTGATGCTGTATTAACCTAACAAAAGGTAAGCAGAAACTCTGAGTAGTGAGTTAAGATCACAACACAGACAGAATCACAAGAAGATCAGCAAAGCTCCACTGAGGTCCAGCATCACAGCAAAATTCTACCCAGGCACAATAATCCTCCAGTGTTGCCTCAATTACAAAAAGCCTACAACATCAAACTTCACAAAACCCAGTCATTTATAGTCACATGCCTGACTACTGTGACTCAATCTACTTGAGGAAGTTGCTTTGTGATCCAAACAGGCTAACAAAAGTTGAAATCTTGAAAGATACCCCCAAACCCCCAATCTGGAGTTGAAATTGAAATTATAAAATAAGAGTTTGAATAAAAATTCAGGCTTTTATAGTCTATCTAAATTCCAACCAACATTTTGGAGGAACAGTCAACATTACCAAGTAAATACTGTCCAAGCATCTATAAAAATACTATTTTATTCCCTAGAATACTTTTTATATTTCCCTGGTAAATATAAACTAAGTACTGTAAACAGAGCACTTATAAGGCAGTATATCTATGATTGAGACACGAAGGGATCAATTCTCAGTGGGGCCGTCTCTAAACACACATTTATGTGTGAATGGAAATGAAATACATGAGAAAACATGGCACATGATAGATTCTCATCATAGTAGCTAGTTGTAAAATCTATGAAATTGCCTTGGAAAGGCTTTAAGAGATGATTATTAAAGGGCTAGAATACAAACACCATAAAGAAAAATTAAAATAATCTCAGCATCTTTCTTGGTGATTCAAATTTGACTTTTAAGTATATAATTATAATTCTGTTAAGAACTCTATTTCACCTCCTTTGTAAACTAATGTATCTTGTTTTACAAGATTAAATAAAAAGACATATCAACAAAGAGTTAAGAAACAGATAAGCTACAATATTTCATATGTCTTTATTTTCACAAATATTTCATGTGTGATCTGCTGAGTGTTCCCCTGTCCTTAATTCTGTGAAAATCTGTCTTCCCAAAGCAAATGGTGCCCCCCAAAGCAAGGTAAAGGTTAATGTGCTTATCTGCAGTGATAAAGGAAGAAGTTTAGATCTGTTGAAAGGTGGCATGTCTTTAGTGGAAGTTGGAGGTGCTATGAGCAAAGTGAATGAAGCATCCATAGCACAAGTACTGAACTCTGTGCATCCTGAACCTTCCTGGTTTTTCCTCAATGGTTGTCATATTAGAACCATATCCCAAGGATCTATTTATAATACAAAAACACTCCTGTCATTAAAGGCACTACTACTAACAAAAACAAAACAGAAAATAAAAGAGTATCTTATACAACATAAGTTCTAAGAGATCAATATTATACAAAATGGTATCAAAGGACAAAATGCCAAGTAAGCAAGACTGACAGATTTGAGAAAGGAACACAAAGACTGTGAAACCCTCTTCAAGTGCTAGACTGACATCCATGAGATGGGAGTGGAGTCCAGTAGAGGGCCAGTGCTGCAGAAGGAAGACAGGGTAGGGTGTGGCTACACTCTTTTATTTTTAGCACTTCCTCCATGCTGCCTTAGGAGTATCTTTATCCATGAGGCAGTGCAGAAGTGGTCCACTGATAATAGCTAATGGATTCAGAATGTCTGCACTAGATTCTTAGGTAAGTTATATACTTAACTTCCCCATAACCTAGTTTTCTCACTCCCAGCCCCTGTGAACATTTTTAAAGAAAATTACAGAGGAGTGCTACCATATCTTGAAAATAAACATTTACAAAGCCTATATACACATCATGATTGAATGAGTATAAAAAAATCTAAGATGGAGATCAAAACAAGGGTGTTCCACCTCACTCCTACTCATTTGTATTTATATCTTTTAGAAAATAACTATTTTGAAACACTGAATCAAAACTAGGTGCTATTTGTGCTATATGATAATAACTTTTTCAATCACTCTGGAAGTAAAGTAACATACTCTAAAAGTATTGTTAGTCTATACCAGATAACCCTTATTCCAATTTTTTTAAAACCATGAATTACAGAATTTTAAAAAATCAGGTTCACATCAAAGATTTTTCTTTTTATTTAAGTGTAAAGTTGGAGAGTTTATTGAGATAGAAAAGAGTAAAGTGGGAGAGCAGAGCCTCCAGAGCTGGGCGCCAGCTCCCAAGAGAGGGTGCCCACAGCTTTGTATTTAAAAGGACCACTGTGATTTGACAAGTCAGTTCACTTTGAGGGGTCTCAGTTTTCTCTTCTTTATATAATGGGAGGAAGAGAGTAACCAGATAATCTCTGGAGTCCTTTTCAGTATAAATGTCAGTTGTCCAAAACTAGAATGGGAAATTCAATCCAGAGTACAATAGCAAGTCAATTTAAAACTACCACTAGATGGTGTCCTATTCCAAGGCACTATGAATACCATAAATTGTCATCCACAAAGCCAAAGGTGTACTTCTAACAGCTGACTGGGGCCTCAATACTCCAACAGGTAAGGGATTATGGAACTCTGATTGGATTATCAATTCTTCCAGAACTAGCTTTAGACTAGCAGCTACATCAAGGTTAGAATATGAGTAAAAGGCTGATGAAGAGAGGATGTATGAAAAAATTTTTTAAAATTTTCTTTTAAAGGGTATCCTGAGGCTGAAGGTGTGGCTCAAGTGGAGAGTACTTTCCTAGCAAATGCAAGAGTTCAAATCCCAGTATCATTAAAAAAAAAGTAAAAATAAACAGATAAAGAAAAGAGATCCTGAACATGAAGGAGAAAAGGTACAAAATAATACAGAAAACCTGACTAAAAAGGTTCATGGGTACAAAGTCACTGGAAGATGAGATTAATGTCAATGGTAACACCCAGTCTAATGATTAATACTAAATGACTTTTAAAGTTATCTCAGGAACATTCAAGTCACCCAAATTAATTACTAATCATATTCCTTTTGATATCATAAAAACTAACCTTAAAAACAAGAATTAAGGCACAACATATAAGATTATGTCATGTGTCCATTAAAATTTCTGTCCTCTAAATTTTTTTTCTTAAAAGTTAAATAAAGTTGGGCATTGTGGTATCTGACTTTAATCCCAGGACTTAGAGGACATAATTAGGACGCTCCAGAGATGGTGGCCAGCCTGGGCTACATAATGAGACCCTGTCTCAAAAACCCCCAAGAGCTGGTGGAATGGCTTAAGTGGTACAACACCTGCCTAGCAAGCACAAGGCCCTGAGTTCAAACCCCAATACCACCCATAAAAATAAAATAACAACAAAAAAAAATAAGAATAACAGACCTGTAAAATAGGTACAGTGGGGGGTTGTGCTAGTAGAAGAGGGGGCTGAATGAAGAAGATTAGGTGAGGGTATACGGTGGATGAAATTCATACACATATATGAAATAGAACAAAGAAACCTCTTGCAATTGCTTTAAGTGGGGTGGGGAGGGGAGGTGAAGGGGAGAGATGATGGGGCATTGTAGCTAATGTAAAATATAAGCCTAATAGGAATTGCCACTAAGGATCTCCCCCCCCATATAACAAATATATCCTAATAAAAAATTTATAATTAAAAATCCCCAAGAAAGAAATGAAAAACAAGTGAGGCACAATGGCACATACCACCATAGTGGCACCTACAATCCCAGCTGCACAGGAGGCAGAGGTTGGAGGATTTCAAGTTTGAGGACAGCTCAGACAAAGCTGGCAAGACCCTATCTCAAAGACAAAATAAAAGCAAAAGGGCTGGGCATGTGTGTAGCTCAAGTGGTAGAGAGCTTGGTCCTGGGTTCAATCCCCAGTACTGCAAAATAAACAAATGAACAAAGCAAACAAAAATTAATGTTAAGAGGTTGAACTTAAATTCCATCAAATCTCAGATTTTATGATTATAAAGATTTTCACATTCTGCATACCTAGGGCCATGCATTCCTCTATGTCTATTATTTACTTTCTACCAATTCAACTAGATTATTAGGACAGTTCTGTTACCTGATCATACTCCAAGGCTCCTGGATAGAGCGGCCATCCAAGGAATAATTCTGCAATCACACATCCCAATGACCACATGTCTATGGCTTCACAAAACGGCAACCCCAATATAATCTCTGGAGCTCTGAAATTAAAAAACAAAAACAAAAAACAGGATGATTTTCATTTAAATGACTGGATTTCATTTGACATTCTAAGGAAAGTTCTAAAATAGCAGTGGAATCATCTTTAAATTATCTTCACTCTTTCAGAACTCAGAAACTTAACCATGATCCTGAATTAAGGTAAAAAAGGGTATTATGAGTTCAACAACATAAAGTCTCTTTACTGTAATCCTTTTCCTTTCTAGAGAGTTTTATTAACATAACACTTTAAAATAGAGACAAAAAAACCCTTAGATCTTGTTTTTCAGACTATCAGAGTAGAAATAACATATTAGGAAAAAAAACTAGCAAAATTATTAAATACGTGTATTATAATAGCAACAGAACTGAAAACCAGACAGTGAGAGGTAAGACCAAAGGAAAGTAAAAATCCAAAGGGCTAAAAATGGATCGAGACCTAGATATTACTTCAGAACACATAATAATTAAATATTCACATAACTGGGAATACTAGTCATCCAAAAGACACAAATCAAGTTCAATGTACTGTTTTGAAAGGTAGAAAAGTATAGGATAAAACAACTCAAGAGCACTTTAGTGCTTAAAGGGCTTTAATAATTTAGAAAATGTACCCATGAAATTTATTATTTCCATAGGAAAAAAACTGTAATATGCATATAGAAGCACAAAAGACCCCAAAAGGCCAAAACAGTCCTGAGCAAAGAGATCATAATACCTGATATCATTTTATACTACAAGGCCAAAGCAACAAAAAGACCATGGTACAGACACATAGGTAGACATGTAGAGGAAACATGCAGCTACAGTCATCTGATTCTTGACAAAGGAGAAAAGACAACCTCTTCAACAAATGGTGCTGGAAAACTGGACATTCACATGTAGAAGATTGAAACTAGATCCCTACATCTCAGTCTGTACAAAAATCAATTCAAGATGTATCAAAGACCTTAATGTAAGACTAAAAACTAGTATGGGAAAACATTTCAAGACACAGGCATAGTCAACAACTTTCTGACAAGGGCTCCAAAAGCTCAGGAATTAATATCAGAATTGACAAATGGGACAGCATCAAGTTAAAAGCTCCTGCACAACAAAGGAAGCAATTATCAGACTGAAGAGACAGCCAACAGAATGGGAGAATATCTCTGCCAGCTATTCATCTGACAGGTGATTAATATCCAAAATGTATAAAAAACTCAAAAACGTAGAAACCAAAAGAATAATGTGATCAATAAATGGGCAAATGAATTGAAGAGGCAATTCTCAAAAGAGGCACAAAAGGTCACTAAGTACATAAAGAAACGCTCTGCATCCTTGGTATCAGGGAAATGCAAGTCAAATGACACTGAGATGTCAACTCACTCCAGTCAGGATGGCTATTATCAAGGAAATACACAACGAATGCCGGTGAGGATTCAGGGGGAAAGGAACCCTTATACACTGTGGGTAGGAATGTAAATTAGGGCACCATTACTGAAACCAGTATAGCAGTTCCTCAAAAAACTAAAAATAGAACCACTATATAATCTAGTGATACCACTGCTAGATATACACCCAAAGGAATCTACATCAGCATACCACAGAGATACCTGCACATTTATCTTTAAAGTGGCACTATTTCCAATACTCAAGTTATGGAATCAGCCTAGGTGGCCATCAATAGATGAAAACATAAGAAAATGTGGTACATATACACCATGGCATTTTATTCCGCCGTAAAGAAAAATGAAATTATGTCATTAGCAGGAAAATGGATGGAAATGAAGATGTTAAGCGAAGTAAGCCAGGCTCAGAAAGACAAATATAGCATGTTTTGATTCATAAAGAATTTAGATTAAAAAAAAAAAAGACATGTAAATAGAAGAAAGACTGCTTGGGAAAAGCAAGGAGACCAAAGAGGAGGACTGGGAACAAGGGGGGTAATGGGAGGGTAAATATGACCAAAGTACATGTAGGGAGTATCATAATGAAACCCTTTAGCTTGTACAATTAACATACAATAATTTTGTTTAAAAAAAAAAGGCAGGGTACAGTTGGCTCACACCTATAATGCTAGCTAACTTTGGAGGCTGAGAGTGAGAGGATTGAGGTTTAAGACCAACTCCAAAATAACCAGAGCAAAGTGGACTGGAGGTATGGCTCAAGAGGCTTGCTTTGCAAGCACAAAGCCTTGAGTTCAAACTCCAGTCCCATCGAAAAGAAAAATAGATCACACCTACAATAACAGCCCTAGGGAGGTGGAGGCAGGAAGATTGAGAGTTCATGGCCAGCCTTGGCTACATAGTGAGACCCTGTCCAAAAAAAGAGAGGAAGAGAGAAAGAGTTGGACAGAGAAAGGGTGGGGGGGAGGAAAAGAGAGGGGGAGGAAGGAAAGGGGGAGAAAAGGAATAATTCCCAAATAAATTATGTCACTAAATCACATGGCTTTCCTATGAGAAACTTCATGTCCCAATAATTTCCACGTACAGCTATATAATTTCAAAGAGTATCAATCACATAGTTATCCTGGACCTGTGCATGTGTTTAATTTTAAAACTATCCCAATACTATAGAGAAGTTGTAAGAATGGTACAATGAATATTTTCTCCCTAAAGTACTTGAGAACAATTTGCCACAACGCTGTATACTCTGACTTCCCTACAAACAAGGATATTCTTCTGCATAACCACAATATACTCAGGAAATGAGTACTGGTATCTCTCTACCATCTAAGCCTCAGACTCTGTTCAAGTCTGCCAATTATACTAACAACGTCCATTTGGCAGAAGGATCCAAAACAGAACCATGCACTGCATTTAGTGGTCATATCCCTTTGAGGTCCCCCCCTCCCAATTTGGAAGAGTTCCTTGGTCATTCCTTGATTCCCATGGCCTTCGTATAAAGTATTACAGACTTGTTTTCTGTAGAAACAGCCCTAAGTGTGGGTTTGTCTGATACCTCCTCTTAAGTAGACAGAGGTTAAAATTAAGAAAATGCAATACATTTCATCACGAAGTCCCACACAAATGTGACCAGCTTCTCTACATTTAACCTTAGCACTCCATACATTTTTAATGTATATCGTCACATGTCAAAAGTTGAGAAACAATACCTTAAGCCACTTAGAATCCAGCTGAAACTGCCAATAGAAAATAAACTAAAATGAAACTATGCACGGAAAGAATAATATCTGTTCATCAATAGTGAATAAAGCTTAGTTAGTTGGTTTCATTTTAACTAGCTCTCAAATTCCTTCTCTAGGATAAACATACTTTTGTATTCTGGGATAAATAATCCTTTTATATTAAAATGATCTTAGCAGGGATTCTGACTAGTGGACCACTCCTTCCTTTATATTCCTAAGAAAAATCTTCCACTTCTTTTTTCATCTACTTTAACTCTCTTCTAGGCACCTATAATGCATGAGTGTTAAAGATACAGCAGGGAAGAGACATCATTTCTGATCTGTACACAGACAAGGCACACATTAAATATAGCTATTCAACTGGCGGGGAGAGGGTATGTGTACAACTAAGCCTGAAGTCTCTCACTCTGTAAATGATTACTCACAACTAGAAGCAAGTTTAGGTCATATGGCAACAAGGTTTAGACCACATGGAAACAAAGGTGATCTATGTCTAAGATGTTTTTCTTTTCCTGTTTTTAACAAAATTCATCAATATCCATGAAGAGCAAATCCTCTCTGCTGCTCTAAAAACTTTAAACACTGATATAACATGCACATTAACACTTAAAATTGGTTAAGTTGGAATAAAAATTTCTCAAGTGGGAAACACTCTGGATGGTTTGCTGGACTTTTGCTAGGGTACTCGAAGAGAATGTTCACAATGGATACCTCAAAAGAAGAGGCAATTAAAGGAACATTTCATTTCCTTCATTCCATATTCACTTACTTGGTTAAGTCAAATGTTCAAGTAGTGGCAGAAGAAAATTGAGCCCTGTTAGGGAAAGGTGGTGTTTTGGTTCAACAACTCAACATGCTTAGTTCTCAGAATAAATATATTCTGACAATAAAGATAGGATGCCTTAGGTTATCATTGCAAATGTCACTTAACTATGAACTAGTGTGCTGATTTCATACTCATCAAGAAAAAACTGGGCTGAGAATGTACTAATGGTAGAATGCCTGCCTAGAATGTAGGAGGTGGAAGGGGGAAGGGAAGAGGAAAGAAGGACAAAGGGAGAGAAAAGACTGACCATAACATGCCTTCCAACTTGAGTTTTTCTACATGCAAAGAATGACAACACCAACATGAATATCTGCTCTACTTAACGGCCTCATTACTCAGTTAATAACTAAGCTTGATATGCTCCAGCTTCTCTGAGTTGAGTACCAAAACAACCCAAGTCTGGTCAAGTCTAAGGCACTGAACAAATAATTTATGACATGACCGTAATGATTCTGCCATCAACATCTACATACTTCTCCTATATTTGACAGTGTATAGATAACAGAGAAATGCAGCAATCTTAGAAATCATAAATCCATGTTAGACTCAAATTGCATGGGGCAAGGACTTTAAGTTTTTCAGTGCTATTATCCCACCACCTGGAACACAGTAGGTACTCACTCATTATTTGTTCAAAGAATTGATTACAAAAGCTGTTAGCATATATTCATTCATTAAGAACACCTAAAACCTATGGGACACAGCAAAGGCAGTCCTGAGAGGAAAGTTTATAGCTATGAGTGCATATATTAAAAGGACAGAAAGATCGCAAATCAATGACCTAATGCTACATCTCAAACTCCCAGAAAAGCAAGAGCAAGCAACACCCAAAAAAGGTAGAAGGAGAGAAATAATAAAAATAAGGGCTGAGATTAATGAAATAGAGACCTAAAAAAAACCATACAAAAATAAATCAATGAAACAAAAAGCTGGTACTTTGAAAAAATAAGTAAGATTGACAAGTCCCTGACAAATCTGACTAAAATGAGGAGGGAAAAGACACAAATTAGCAAAAGCAGAAATGAAAAAGGGGAGATAACAACAAACACCACGGAAATCCAGGGAATCATCAGAGATTACTTTGAGAATCTATATTCTAATAAATTGGAAAATCTTGAAGAAATGAACAAAATTCTAGATAGTTATGACCATCCAAAACTAAACCAAGAAGACACTAACCACCTAAACAGATCTATAACCATAATGAAATTGAAGCAGCAATAAAGAGTCTCCCAAAAAAGAAAAGTCCAGGACCTGATGGATCCTCAGCTGAATTCTTCTACCAGACCTTCAAAGAAGAACTAATACCAACACTCCTAAAACTTTTCCACAAAACAGAAAGGGAAGGAACACTGCCCAACTCATTCTAGGAATCCAGTATTACATTCCTCCCAAAATCAGACAATGACACATCCAAAAAGGAGAACGCAGGCCAATCTCCTTAATGAACACTGATGCAAAAATCCTCAATAAAATAATGGCAAACCAAATCCAACAACATATCAGAAAGATCGTTCACTATGACCAAGTGAGCTTCATCCCAGAAATGCAGCGATGATTCAACATACACAAATCAATAAATGTGATATAGCAAATTAATAGAAGCAAAGACAAAAACCACATGAACATCTCAATAGATGCAGAAAAAGCCTTTCATAAGATTCAATATCACTTCATGATAAAAGCTCTAAGAAACTAGGAATAGAAGGAAAGTACCTCAACATTGTAAAGGCTATATATGAGAAACCTACAGCCAACATCATACTTAATGGGGAAAAACTGAAACCATTTCCCCAAAAATCAGGAATGAGACAAGGGTGCCCACCCTCCCCATCCCTATTCAATATACTCCTGGAATTCCTAGCCAGAGCAATAAGGCAAGAAGAAGAAATAAAAGGAACACAAATAAGTAAAGAAACAGTCAAAATATCCCTATTTGCAGATGACATGATCCTATACCTCAAAGACTCAAAAAACTCCACCCAAAAACTTCTAGACACCTTAAACAGTTTCAGCAATATAGCAGAATACAAAATCAACTTACAAAAATCAGTAGTCTTTCTACACACCAACAATGAACAAATTGAGAAATACAGGAAAATGATTCCATTTAGAATAGCCTCAAAAAAAAAAAAAACTAAATACCTAGAAGTAAACTTAACGAAGGATGTAAATGACTTCTTCAAGAAGAACTACAAACCACTAAAAAAAAAGAGATCAAGGAAGGCTACAGAACGTGAAGAAATCTCCCGTGCTCATGGATTGGCAGAATCTACACAGTAAAAATGGCTATAATACCAAAAGCAATCTATATGTTTAATGCAATTCCCATCAAAATTCCAATGACATTCATCACAGAGATTGCAAAATCTACCCTAAAGTTCATTTGGAAACACAAAAGACCACAAATAGCCAAGGCAATACTCAGCAAAAAGAACAATGCTGGGATATCACAATATCTAACTTCAAACTATATTACAAAGCAATAGCAATAAAAACAGCATGGTACTGACACAAAAACAGATATGAAGACCAGTGGAACAGAATAGAGGACCTGGATATGAATCCACACAGCTATGCCCACCTTGTTTTTGACAAAGGTGCCAAAAACATATGATGGAGGAAAAAACCAGACTCTTCAACAAATTGTGCTGAGAAAAGTGGCTATCTGCCTACAGAAAACTGAGGAGGGAAAGGGAGGGGATGGGGACAGCGGGGAGAAAGGACCCAAACAATGTATGCACATATGAATATATGAATAAAGAAAAAACAGAATAAACATTTAAAAACATTAAAAAAAAAGAGTGCCTTGCATACCGGGTAGATGGCTTTAGTAAAGATCTTACTGCATCAAAAAAAACCCCATTAAACTGAAACTAGATCCATGCCTGTCACACTGTACTAGTATCAACTCAGAGTGGATTAAGGACCTTAATATCAGACCCGAAACCTTGCAGTTAGTACACAAAAGAACAGGGACTAACCTGGAAACAATAGGAATAGGCAAGGACTTCCTCAGTAGAACTCCATCAGCCCAGCAACTAAGAGAAATGATGGACAAATGGGACTACATGAAATTAAAAAGCTTCTGCACAACAAAAGACATGGTCTCTAAATTGAAGGGACCACCCACAGAGTGGGAGAAAATATTTGCTAGCCTATACATCAGCCTAAGAACTGATAACCAGAATATACAGGGAGCTCAAAAAATAAACTCCCCAAAAATCAATGAATCAATAAAGAAGTGGCAACTGAACTAAACAGAACTTTTTCTAAGGAAGAAATCCAAATGGCCAAAACACACATGAAAAAATGCTCGCTATTCCTGGTCATAAGGAAATGTAAATCAAAACCACACTAAGATTCCACCTCACCCCTGTTAGAATAGCTATCATCAAAAATACCAACAACAACAAATGCTGGCAAAGATGTGGGGAAAAAGGAACACTCATACACTGCTGGTGGGAATGCAAGCTAGTACAACCATTATGGAAAACATTATGGAGGCTTCTTAAAAAACTAAACATAGATCTGCTAGACGATCCAGCAATACCATTCCTGGGGATATACCCTAAGGAATGTGACACAGGTTACTCCAGAGGCACCTGCACACCCATGTTTATTGCAGCACTATTCACAATAGCCAAGTTATGGAAACAGACAAGATGCCCCACTACTGATGGATGGATCAAGAAAATGTGGTATTTATACACAATGGAATTTTACTCAGCCAGGAAGAAAAATGAAATTTTGTCATTCGCAAGTAAACGGATGGAATTGGAGAACATCATTCTGAGCGAGGTTAGCCATGATCAGAGGGCCAAAAATCATTATGTTCTCCCTCATATGCAGAGTATAGACCCAAAACAAATGCAGTAATATTACTGGAAATGGGCCACACACTAAGGGGAGAACACACACAGGAGAAGTAGGGAAAGGAAAAGAAACCTTAAAACTTGAAAGTGGTTGATGTGTTCCCTGGTGAGGAGCAAGTAAAGTAATCTTAAATTGGCAGAGGTCACTGTGGGAAAGGGACCAGGAAGTAGTGAAGAGGTCTGGTAGCGATGAACCAATGTGGGTTGCAATACACATGTGCATGGAAGCAATGTTAGGAATCTCTCTGTATAGCTATCTTTATCCCAAAACTGCTACGTCTTTCTTATTATCTCTTATGTTTTCTCTTCAACGAAAATAGGAAAAGAGGGCAGAATGGGGGAGGTAGGGGCACAAACAACAAACACACATGTAAGTAAATGTAAAAATGATAAAAGGAGGAAAAAAGAACACCTAAGAAAATTTTTATTTAATCAAATACATGAGCTCAGCAGATAAGCAATCAAGGGACTCATATGCTAGTCATTTTGCATTTAGACAACTGAAGTATTTTATGACTACAAAGTAAAAATAATCATCACTTCAGTGAGCTGTAACAATGGCCCAGGCATCATGAAAGTAACTTTTAATGCATTATTTAATTTTTTTTAAATGTGCTAAAAACAGATTATAACATTGTTCTGTGCCAAGATCAAAATTTCAGGTAAACAAAATGCTCCCATACAAAACAGAAGAATCCCTGGATTGCGTACAACTAACCCCAAGAATCATGAGATGAAATAAATCATTATTTCTGAAGCAACTAAGTTTTGGAGTTGTCACACAGCAACTTAACACACTGCCCCAAATTACCCAGCAAGTAGCAGGACTGAGATTTTAAAGAACTAATTCATAATACTCTTTTCTGTTTATCATACCACCTCTCAAAGTATAAAACTGTTTTGACTCCAAAAAACACAGGAAGCCAAAAACAGAAAACCTAGAAACTGACCCAGAAGTCACTTTTAGCAATTCAATTAAGTCATGCTCTCGTTTTGCTTTTTACAGAACAGGAAAATACTAACCAATCTCTGTTTCTAATAGTTTCATGAGAAACCATCTATTACATGCCTTTTATGATTAACTGGTCCTTAGATTTCTAGGACAATCAAAAGGAATGAAAGAAGAGACAGAGAGAGAGAGACACAGGGAGGGGGAGGAGAGGAAGAGGGAAGGAAGGAGGGAAGAAGGGAGAGAAGGAAGGAAGGAGGAAAAGAGAGAGCGAGGAAGAGAATGTTTGTATCATTTTTTAAGCCAAGAATTCGTTTCATACAAATTCTTTTTAAAAATATGTAATAAACATCATCAAAGCACTTACATTAAGATCAAGGCAATGTTCTAAGCACTTTATGAAATATTAGCTTATTTGATATGCATACAAATCTTTTTCGGGTAAAGAGGGAGGTGGTGCTGAGTCTTGAACTCAAGACCTCACCAGCACCCTACTTAACCTGAGCCATGCCCCTAGCTTTAGTAATTTTTCAGATTGAGTCTCATGCTTTTTACCCAGAGCCAGCCTTGGACCCATCCTTCCTAATATGGCAGCTCAGATTACCACCATACCCAGCCCATACAAATCTTTGTAATAGATGAGAAAATACACGCAAGAGTAAATAGCTTGCCTAATGTCACACAATAAGTAAAAAGCAAGACTGGTGCTCAAAGCCAGGTTTTATGCATTCAGAATCCATGCTTTTAACTGCTACACATTAACATAAATAATTCCTAGGACTAGCAAGACTATTGGAGTTTTAATGGAAGTTCTCCCACTCAGATCCTATACTTATCATTCAAGTGTTCTTTCTGTGTTTAAACATATCACATCAGATTTTCAAACTAACCAGAAAATATGAAATATTACTATAATTATCATACTTATGTTTACCTGACATTGACTGATTCCTTTTCATGATTTTTAAGCATTTATTCATAACCATAAAATTAAAAATACACAGACATCCTCTGACTATCTCCTGGTTAAAACAGGGCTTTTACTGTGGGAGACATTGCTTTCCTAAAGATTACCATAATGTCATTTTATGTAAAAGACAGTTAGCAAATGAGTTCAACAGTGGATGGAACCATCTGCTGGCCAGTAGGGTGATTACTCATAAATACAATTCATTATCAATAAATTCTTACAAGTTAAAGCCTTATATATGAGAAAAAACAGCAAAGCCTAACATGATTAAAAAATAAAAGCATATCCAGGTGCCGATGGCTCACGCCTGTAATCCTAGCTACTCAGGAGGCAGAGATCAGGAGGATCGCAGTTCAAAGCCAGCCCGGGCAAATAGTTTGTGAGACCCTATCTCAAAGAAACCCATCACAAAAAAGGGCTACTGGAGTGGTTCAAGGTGTAGGCCCTGAGTTCAAACCACAGTACAGTTAAATAAATAAATAAACAAACAAACAAAAAAGTAAAGGCACAGACCAATGTGTTTTCACAAGCATAGCAAATCTACAATGAGATATAAACCCATGGGAGTTTTGGGCAATTACCAACTGGAATCAACATGGCGAGGTAGAAATGTATATTTTTCTACATTTGATTGCTTTTAAACAAGCATCTCCTCCTATGCAATAAAAGACTAACATTTGAAATTGTAAGCTAGATTCTGTAGGAATTCCACATTTTTTCCTATCATCATCAAATCAGAAATTAAGCGAATTTTTTTAATTTCCATTTATTATAAGAAAAAAAATTCCAGTTAAGTACATGGTAAGTGGGAGTGCATTGCTGTGGGTGGAAGGACTGTAGGAGGTGTCCCAAAGAGGCTCTATCTTACCAGGGGAGACCATATGGAGACTCTTCTAAGCATAACAGAGGAACTTTTCATCCCAGGGGCCCTCCAAGAATCTGTCCACATCACAATGCAACTTAAAATTTATTAAAAATGGACACGGATTACTATAGCTGAAACTTTTACAGAAGAATAACTGCTAAGGTACCAGCAGTGAGTTTATTTCTGACCTAAATAACAATCTTCAATATCCCACAGAATGGTGCTTTTTAACATTTATTTCATATAAGCATTCAATGTAAAAACAATGTTCTTTAAAGTGGATTTTTTTTAAAACATCTGCTGAAAAATTGTGCTCTTTAAAAATAACCATCAAAATGTCAACACTCTAAAAAGAGCAAATACATTTCAAAAGGGATGATTAACTACTTCTACAGATTTTTTTATGTTTTAAATTTTGTGTATGTGTGATGCTGGGGATTGAACCCAGGGCCTTGCACATACTAGGCAGGTTCTCTACTACTGAGCTATGTCCCCATCCCATAAAATGTTTTTGATATAAGAAAATTGTTGTCCATAAGAAATAACACCACTACAGAATACTAGACATTCATGCAGATTGTTTTCATGACTGTAACTGCAACTCTCCAATGACATGTTGAACTGCAATCAAAGCACAGGCTCTTAGAATAAGCCCTCACTCAAATGACATTTGTACTGTAAGCTAAAAATATCACAATTAAAAATATCCTCATTGCAACGCCACTTAATCTTTTAAGTATGTAGCACAATCGTTCAGATCAAAGCACCAAGCACAAACAACAATAGCCATAATAAACATTTTCAAAGTCCATTAAATTTAAAATCTGCAAGGTGGAAAACAAAGGATAGCAAATATTTCATATCCATTACCAATACACAAAATATATATTTTATAGTCTTAATATCAAAAAAGATACAGTATCTATCTATGACTGATCAACAGCTAATGTTTCAGAAAACAGAAGCTAGAAACACATATCACTTATGGACAGCACTATCAGCTTCAGGTTTTATCTACCAAAAACAGTTACAAGAACACTGAAAATTCTTGCAACATGGAAGAGAAAACTGTGAGGATATTATTAACCAGCACCCAGAAAAAGATGCTGAAGGGCTGGGTTGGTGGGCAACTACGGAAAGCATATGGAAATAAAGGAAAAACATGTCAGCAACCAAGGTTGAACATCTGCTCTTTACTTGTATAAGTTGTACTTGTATAAACTTGGCTTATACGCTATTGGATACAGAAAAAATAATGTTGGATTATCACAGCTCATATCCACACATCTATTATTAATACCATTATATGCAATTTATTTTATTGCATTTATATTTTATAAGTCTTACACATATATTATTCTATGAGGTAA